TTGTGTTTTTGAAAAGAGTTTGTAGAGAATTATCCAGAAAATGTGTCTTGAAAAAGAAGGAAAATCGTTTAGTATCTGCAAAATATCAATTAAGTCTAGTTACCTGTTTTTTTCAAGCTAATGGAAAACTTGAAAAGTCGAAAAGTGGATCAAAGCATAATTTATCATACCCATTAAACACTTCTGGCTTCTATAATTCTATAATTTCAAACGTAAAGGCAAAATACATTTGATGCGAAAGATACGTTTGAAGAGGACGGAAGTTGTAAGAACGTTTTTGGCGACGTTTGGTATCGAACTTTTTTCTTCTTCAAAGTCAATCCCAAAAGTTTTGTTTTCTATGTTCTTTTGAAGTTCAGACTTTGATCTTTTCAATGAAACAGTAATTATTTCTTTAGCACATTGGAAACATGCAGAAATAATATTTGACATTTTTGTAAGACCTTTCCATCGTATGTCAATAATATATAAGAATTTTTCTTTGCCAGCGGGTAGAGATGCGCACGGGTACCATTTTCGTACCGGTATCCGACCCGAAAACGTTTTTTCTACCCGTATCCGATCCGACATCTTTGTACCCGTACCCGACCTGTATCCGACGTATGCCTAAAAGTTATCTCCTTTTTGTTTTCGCTCAAAAAACTTTTGTTTTTCGGCTGAAGATGTCAAATTATCATTACGTTCTCAGGTAATTCTTTTTTAAACCTTCATGTATTTTAGCTAAATTTCTGTATTTTTTCACTAAACTTTTGTGGGTTTTCCAATAAAACCTTCCGGTTTTCGAGTAAATTAAAAAGAATAGAACCCGTAGCCAACAACTTCGTACCCATACCCAGCCTTCGGGTCGGGTCGGGTGCGGGTACGGGTCGGGTTGCACATCTCTACCAGTGGATTACTTATGATCATAGAGAAAGAAGCAAAGAGAAAATAGGAAAAGTGTATCATAGAGAAAGTTTGTATTTAAAATTTTTATCTATGAGTCACTAAAGATAATCAACGAAATATTAATGTATAGTATACTGGTAAGATAAGATTTTATTTACTCAAGAGAGCAGGATATCACAAAAAAGAACAAAAGACTTGTGGCATCCGTGGATACCCTGTGATAACCTAAAACTAAAAATTTAGATGTACAGCTTTAACGTCTGCTAGCTTCTTAAAACTCAAATCCAAATAAACGGGCACTAAATTTACTTGGAGAGAATTTGAAATAACTTTCACAGCAACAACCACTCATCTACAAAATAAGCTTCTCTATATAAATTATTCACTTTGAGTGTACCATCCATAGCTATAGTACCAACGTCACTTACTTTGTTTTCCTCAATTATAAGGTCTGTAGAGATTGTATTTATTTTAATGCATCCAGCTCCATGGTCTTATATTTGAGGTCGATGTAGATAGAGAATCTGTACTGTTTTGTGTACTTTAGAAATATGTACAAGATGATGCACTAAAGTATCATCTTCAGGTATTTTCCTTAAAGAAAAATCAACTATTATAATAATCTGTAGTATATACCGCTTTCTGGAGAAAAGTACTGTGCCTGCAAACTTGAAGATTTCTCTTAAAAAATATATCAAAGAAAATTTTTCCAAAATAGTATGAAAGAAAACTATAAGTTTGTAGAAGTTACTTCAATTGTAATTGGTGTCAATAGTTTCAGATTTTTTTCAATCCAGTCTAGAGTATAAGCAAATACCGCATCTCTACCAAGATCATTATGTAGTTCATGATAAAAATCTGGCCATTCTTTAAATGTGATATTATTGCCAATACAAGAATTAGCCCATTTACGAATTAATTCTATGGGCGTTACGGATTTCGTGCCATGCTGAATTAATATTGGCAATGGAAACTTACAAGGATGTTTTTCTATATCTATCGCTAATTCACACATAATTGCCACGGTTCTGCCTGGCCAACGATCATGGACTAATTTATCCTTTTGATGCTGTGCAATGACAGCTGGGTCGTTTGAATAAGTGTACTGAGTTGCTTGGCAGGGCAATCGACCATGGGGAGTTAAATTTCCAAATGCTCGTGCGATTCCAATATGTATTTTATTTGGCTTTTTTGGAAAACATATTGAAGGTGTACACGCGACTACAGCTTGATATGGTAGGGGTCTAGTGTTTCTTCGATTTGTGTATACGACTATTGTAGCTGATCCAACACCATCACCATACATTACTATGGGAATACTCAGAGACGGATAAAATTTGCGTACTTCACCAAGAGCACATTCCATATCATCTAAATAAGCGTTTATATGAGGTAGATACCCTTGTTCACCTCCTGAACGACCGTGACCACGCACATCATACGCAAGAACAGCTATTTGATGTTTATTAACAAACTTTGGTAAAAAGTCACTACGACCAGAATGATCACCAAAACCGTGTACGAATAATATGATTGCACGAGGATTATCAACTGACCAATGCCTGCCAAATAATTTCAAATGATCAGGATATATCGATTCGAACGTAAATTCAATGGGTGATATCGATATTGCTTCTGCCATTCTAAAAAGAACTCAGTCCATTAGTTTGAAAAAACAGGTAATTAGACTTAATTGATATTTTGCAGATACTAAACGATTTTCCTTCTTTTTCAAGAAACATTTTCTGGATAATTCTCTACAAACTCACATTAGTTTTAACCTTTACTCACACGAGAGAGTGAAAAAATTAGAGTTGAAAAGATGTACGTTGCACGAGCTTTTTTAGCGATGTTTGATATCGAACTTTTTTCTTCTTCAAAGTCAATCCCGAAAGTTTTGTTTTCTATGTTTTTCTGAAGATCGGATTTTGATCTTCCCAATGAAAAAGTAAGTAACTCTTTAGCACATTGGAAACATGCAGAAATAATGTTCGATACTTAGTGCAAGACTTTTACATCGTACGTTATAACACT